ATCATCTGTGACATTGGTTAACCTTCGCTCCGTTACGCGACGAAAAATTTGCGACGTCGCAGACGTCGGACCATTTATGAGCTTTCGAAGCCGTCGTAGAAACGATTCGAAGGGAAATGCGGAAAAATTATCCATGGGTCCGAGGCGCCCGACATCCTGGCACATATGCACTAAACCATGCACGTTGAAGACCACCTCCCTCTCACCGTACAGCTTCGCGATGTCACGCACCACCTTTTTCAATACTGATTTCGCATGCGAAAGGTAATGTGAACACCACCTACGGCAGCACAGAATGTATGCGGCGACGGATAACATAACGAAATTATTGTACAGGTCTTCGGGCAACACGCCGCGCAAAACTACGGGGCCCAGGTATAAAAGAAACTGTCTGAATTCCGTGGCCTTCCAACGTTCCACGTCCTCAAACGTGCGACATTTGCGCGGAAACTCGCACGTCAGGTTAGCCGAACAAATGCGAAGTCGTTCATTGATAATGTCGATGGATTTTGATGGCAATCGTATGTTTCCACCTGTTGGGCCGCAACGCCAAAGCATTATTAACTTCCGTGTTACTCCCAGACACAAGGTGTGCATGTAATCAAGTGGGAAACAACTTATCATATCAATCCGTAGAGCCTCAAAAGGTGATTCGCCGATGTGATGTTCCGGTTGTTTTCGTGTTCTAAAATCCATGTCATCACGTAATGAGCTTTGGGGTTCGGTAGGGAAGGTCATTCTACCATCAACGTGCGAACCTGCAAATGTTTATTAAACTTTACGCTTCGCTTACCAGTTATTGTGCATTTCTCGCAGGCGAAATATCCGGAATGTTGTTTCACCTGCCGAACATATGCTCGTGCAGGTGCATCGGCTATCACGCAGTCCAACACGATATCTATAGCATCATCATTATCACCCAAGCAGACACCTTTGCGTAACACATCCTTCAATTCATCCACCACTGGCCGCAGGAACTCAGACACATTAATAGGTTTTGATAATCCACTGTAAAGACCAATTAAAAACAAATCGCTTGGCGGATTTATCAGCCTTCCAAGTACTGGCCACAGTTGTCTGCGCGAGCTTTTGAACACGGTCATTCCGTCTATATGGATCTGCAACTTTAGCAATGACGGACGGGGTGAATGCGTTCTGCGCAACACGTCACGTATGGCGTCCTGCAAACCCATATGGATGTAACTGCCGCCCTCGATTAATCTCACCGGACACCGACGGGGTGTTTTCAAACTGCTCCAGGCGTCAACCGGTAAACTGGGATATAGACGCAGAAGATTGCGCAAAAGGAGATTAAGCTGGGTCAAAGTAAAGTTTCCGTCCAGAGCCACGTCACGCAGAATTTCCTCTAAGGTAACCGATTCCGCTGGACGCAAGAAATTGGTTGGACGGGCTAAAAGAGTACGTTTTATGAAACATTTGCATACGTATATTTAATAAAGAGGAAGCACAAGGCACATCCGATTCATATTTGTTATGAATGACTCCACCATTAGGGGATATTGCGTGCGTTAAAGGTTCCTGCACGGCATGGCGCGAAGAATGCACATCTTGTGCGGTAGGTCCAGTACTTATCATCTCCCGTGCAGCTGAAAATACATTCCGCGAAAAAGCCCATACCTTGTAATGACATAACTGCTTGCACTTCTCTCTGTATATCATCTTCAACTCGTCGTATTCTACGATAAAAAGTTGTGTTAGAGCAACTTGAAAAGGCGTCCACAGGCTTCTTATCCATAGCCTATAGTGTCTGACAGAGAGTTAGAACCGCTGCGAATAGGACCTTAGCACGATTGCTCACGGTCAGGTTACGAAAGGTGAAAAATCAGCAAACCTGTCCGATGACACGAACGGAGGAATAGAACGCTGATCGTAAATAGAGATCCAACAACCGATGCGAAGCACACGCAACACTCGAAGGCGGCACAACGTCACCGACACCAGAAGACGAACGAAATTCGAAGAAGAGTATATATCTTGTAGTGAGTTAAAACAAATGTACAAAAATTGACGGAAGATAGAATAGGAAGTTACAAGGAAAAATGTGAAGAATCTATAAACACTACAGGGCTCCCCTCCTAGAGCGTGAGTCGGGAGAACGAACGCTCGAAAGTTGTGCGTTATTGGTAGCAATTAGTTTGGAAGGCAAAACAACAGCGCGTCCAGAGCGTGTGTGCTTTAGTGTATATGGTTCACTCACTGGTTTAGTGGAGGGTGTAGAGGGGGGCACACAGGGTTCACACATTGGCTGGGTAGGAGGGGTACTAGGAAACGTCTGTTCTGTGGCTTGTTGTGGTGTTTTGGTTTCGACGTACGCTGGTTTTAAGCGATCAAGGCTCAGAGAATCCTTCGAACCGTTTCTATCCAATATGAAGTATTTCTCTTTGCGAGCAAGGACTTTGAAAGGGCCCTCATACGGTGGTGTCAAGGGTTTACGCACCGCATCGACGCGCACAAAAACGAAAGGGCAGGTATGCAAATCAGAGTGCACTTGCTGGTTTCGAGGGCTGAATCTGGGCGGTGTTGGCCGGACTGAAGAAAAATGTTGTCGCAATCGTACCACATAGGAAGTTGGGTCTAGTTCGCCAGTGATTCTGGAATCTAACACCATCTCACCGGGAAGCCTGAGAGTTGTGCCGAAAACCAGTTCAGCGGGGCAACAACCTAGGTCTTCTTTGATCGTGTTGCGAATGCCGAGAAGGATAATTGGTAGCTGTTCGGACCAGTGCGTACTCGATTGGGATGCGGTAATTGCGGCTTTCAGTTGACGATGAAAACGTTCAACAAGACCGTTAGCGGCTGGATGGTAGGCGGTCGTTCGCAGATGACAACAGCCGAGTAAACGATTGAGGTCTCGAAAGAGAGCGGAATTGAACTGAGGACCTCTGTCTGTTGTGATCGTGGCTGGGGTGCCAAACACAGATATCCAGGTTTCAACGAAGGTCCGCGAAACAGTTTCGGTGGAAATATCTCGTAAAGGTACTGCATGAGGCCATCGTGTGAAACGGTCGACACAGGTCAGTAAGTACTGGAAACCGTTGGATGGAGGAAGTGGTCCAACGAGATCAAGGTGCACATGTTTAAATCTAGCGTCGGGTAACGCAAATGTGCCAGGTACGGTGATCGTGTGCCGATGTATCTTGCTAGTCTGACAAGTGACACAATGCTTCGCCCATTTTTGGATGTCGGAACGCATATTGTGCCATATGTAGCGGTCGGCGATTAACTTGACCGTTGCTCGAATGCCAGGGTGGGAAAGGCCATGCAGGTGGTCGAAAACAAGTCTGCGGAACTGTTGTGGAACAAAAGGTCTGGGCTTTCCAGTCGATAGATCACAATAGACTTTGGAATCGGAATTAACAATAGGCAGTTGAGAGAATTTCAAGGAAGCGTTTGTCTTCAAGTCCGCGAACTCAGGGTCGTCTTCTTGGTGAGCCGCAATATCCTCGAGGTTTACAGTTTGGCGTGAGAAATGATGCAGATCGATACGAGACATAGCGTCAGCAACAGCGTTGTTAGTGGCATCAACATGACGAATGTCTGTCGTGAATTGTGATATGTAGTCTAGATGACGGGTCTCACGAGGTGAAAATCGATCGGAGGAACCGCGGAAGGCAAAAGCTAGCGGTTTGTGATCCGTTAGGATAGTGAAGGTACGTCCTTCAAGTAGATGTCGGAAGTGCTTAATGGCAAGGTAAATAGCCAGAAGTTCACGTCCGAATGTGCTGTATCGAGTTTGAGCAGGTTGAAGCTTTTTGGAGAAAAAAGACAAAGGTTGGGGTTGGTTGTTGATCAGCTGCTGTAAAACAGCGCCAACGGCAGTTTGTGATGCATCAGTTCTGAGAATGAGAGGTGCATCAACATCGGTTTTCATGTGGCTAAGTGCGGTGGCGTTGGATAACGCCTGCTTGATCTTATCGAAAGCCACAATAGCTTCTGCTGTCGGCTCAAACTTTCGGGACTTGCCTTTTAGTAAATCTGTCAGGGGCTGAAGTAGCCGGGAACAATCTGGAATGAAACGATTGTAATAGTTGACCATCCCGAGGAAACGACGCAAATTTTTGAAGGACTGAGGCATTGGATAATCCGCGATTGCCTGCGTCTTTTCGGGGAGTGGGCGAATACCATTGTGGTCGATTCGGTGACCGAGAAAATCGACACAGGATTGGCCGAAAATACATTTGTCAACATTAATCGTCACGCCATACTGAGCAAAACGCTCGAAGATCAGACGGAGATGTGACAGGTGTTCCTCATCGTTCGAACTGGCGACGAGAATGTCGTCGATGTAGGCGAAGACGAAGTCTAGACCCCTTAGGACTTGATCAATGAACCGCTGAAAGGTTTGAGCAGCGTTTCGCAATCCGAAGGGCATACGGACGAATTCATAGAGACCGAAGGGGGTAGTAATGGCGGTCTTTGGAATGTCGTCAGGAGCGACAGGGATGTGATGGTATGCACGAACTAGGTCGATTGTAGAGAAAACAGACTTTCCGTGCAAGTTACTAGAAAAATCATGGATATGGGAAATTGGGTATCTATCGGGAACAGTGACATTGTTGAGCGCACGGTAGTCGCCACATGGTCTCCAATCGCTGGTCTTCTTGGGCACCAAATGAAGCGGAGATGCTTAGCAGCTTTTGGAAGGGCGGATGATCCCGAGGTTAAGCATGTGTTCGAACACTCTCTTGGCCGCTTGTAGTTTGTCCGGTGGAAGGCGTCTTGGCTTGGCAGACACAGGAGGACCGGTTGTGACGATATGGTGACAGATATCGTGCTTGGGCTCTAGAGTGCCGTCATCTGCTCTAAGGAGGGAGGGAAATTGTTGCAGCAGTGATGAGTAGCGTGACTCTTTAGGCAGAAGTACTTGAAGCTTAATGGAATTGACCGTAGCGAGCTGTCCGGAAACAGTTAACGATGTAGTACCATCTCGCAGCTTGCCACATCGCAGGTCTACAACCAGGCCGAATTTGGTGAGAAAGTCAATACCAATGATGGGTTTCTGTACATCGGCAATCAGGAAGATGAAGGTGAAATTACGTCGCAAACCAAGATTAAGTGTCAGCAGTCTCTGGCCATACGTCGCGATCTTGGTTTGGTTGGCTGCCTGTAAAGTAATTCCGGATGGTCGCAGAGCACGTTTTTCTAAGGATCGAGGTATAACGCTCACCTCTGCGCCAGTATCAACCAAAAAATGAAGTTTGGTGGTGGAATCGAAAACGTACAAGAGGCGACTAATGGTTTGGCCAGCTGCAGCTGTCGCCATCACTGGCTGGCATTGTCGTTTCCCTGCCGAGAATCCAAAAACGTTTTCGGGTATTTGCAACCTGGACGACAATTACGAGCAGCACCGCCGAAACGGCGGTGGTAGTAGCAGTATGATCGCGATCGGCTGGTGCGGGATTGACTGCGGCGGCCACTCCTTGAGTTGAATCTACGGTTAGCAGGTCGTTCACGACCGATGTGAGACACAGCGAGTTCTAAGCGCGAGAGTCGTTCACTGATGTCTTCAAGTGCGGTACCGCCAGATGGACTAGCGGAGCTCGGTCCAGTCACATTATTCACAGCAGATTTAAAGAAGCGTTCATGGACTTTGTCAGCCGCTTCGGCTAGTTTGTCCAACGGAAGCTCATCAGCGAGGACTGCTAAAATTGCCGTGGTGTTTGTTGGAAGGCACTTAGTCCAGATCTGTCTGAGGATGGAATCGTCCAGGGTCGAGGAACC